GTGTTGGTGTCATTAGTGGTATTGGTAGGTGGCGGTATTAGTGGTTCAACTGGTGTGGTGACTATATAAGCTTGTCCCTTAAGACCTCGCTGCCAGCACACTCAGCTCACACACTGAGGTCCGTGGTTCGAAATCCTGTAATGTGGGTCGCATCCTGGGACAAAATTGACCTAATTTACGGGAAATACTCAGCATAACAAGTGGCTTTCTATATAGTAGTATGTCATTGATGTCAGCTATGGTCTGTATACCTTGTACATGTACTGGTAGTAAATAAATATTATTATTATTGATGGCGATGTTATGACGGTGGTGGTGGTGTTGTTCCTGCCAATGTACTGATAGTGTGGTGGTGCTGCTGTTACCACTGGTGGTGCTTCTCCCAGTGCGCCACAGTACTGATAGTGTGGTGGTGCTGCTGTTACCACTGGTGGTGCTTCTCCCAGTGCGCCACAGTACTGATAGTGTGGTGGTGCTGCTGTTATCACTGGTGGTGCTTCTCCCAGTGCGCCACAGTACTGATAGTGGTGGTGTGCTGTTATATGTGTGCTGTTTATCACGGTGGTGCTGCTGTTACCACTGGTGGTGCTTCTCCCAGTGCACCACAGTACTGATAGTGTGGTGGTGCTGCTGTTATCACTGGTGGTGCTGCTGTTACCACTGGTGGTGCTTCTCCCAGTGCGCCACAGTACTGATAGTGTGGTGGTGCTGCTGTTATCACTGGTGGTGCTGCTGTTATCACTGGTGGTGCTGCTGTTACCACTGGTGGTGCTTCTCCCAGTGCGCCACAGTACTGATAGTGTGATGGTGCTGCTGTTACTCACTGGTGGTGCTGTTACTCCAGTGGTGCGCAGTATATCATGTGGTGGTGCTGCTGTTACCACTGGTGGTGCTTCTCCCAGTGCGCCACAGTACTGATAGTGTGATGGTGCTGCTGTTACCACTGGTGGTGCTTCTCCCAGTGCGCCACAGTACTGATAGTGAGGTGCTGCTGCTGTTATCACTGGTGGTGCTGCTGTTATCACTGGTGGTGCTGCTGTTATCACTGGTGGTGCTGTTACCAGGTGCGCAGCAGCTGTTACCATGGTGGTGCTGCTGTTATCACTGGTGGTGCTGCTGTTACCACTGGTGGTGCTGCTGTTACCACTGGTGGTGCTGCTGTTACCACTGGTGGTGCTGCTGTTACCACTGGTGGTGCTGCTGTTATCACTGGTGGTGCTGCTGTTACCACTGGTGGTGCTGCTGTTACCACTGGTGGTGCTGCTGTTATCACGGTGGTGCGTGTACACGTGTGCTGCGTTACACTGGTGGTGCTGCTGTTATCACTGGTGGTGCTGCTGTTACCACTGGTGGTGCTGCTGTTATCACTGGTGGTGCTGCTGTTATCACTGGTGGTGCTGCTGTTATCACTGGTGGTGCTGCTGTTACCACTGGTGGTGCTGCTGTTATCACTGGTGGTGCTGCTGTTACCACTGGTGGTGCTGCTGTTACCACTGGTGGTGCTGCTGTTATCACTGGTGTGCTGCTGTTACCACTGGGGTGCTGCTGTTATCACTGGTGGTGCTGCTGTTACACTGGTGGTGCTGCTGTTACCACTGGTGGTGCTGCTGTTATCACTGGTGGTGCTGCTGTTACCACTGGTGGTGCTGCTGTTATCACTGGTGGCTGCTGTTACCACTGGTGGTGCTGCTGTTACCACTGGTGGTGCTGCTGTTATCACTGGTGTGTGCTGTTACCATGTGGGCTGCTGTTACACTGTGGTGCTGTGTTCCCTGGTGGTGCTGCTGTTACCACTGGTGGTGCTGCTGTTACCACTGGTGGTGCTGCTGTTACCACTGGTGGTGCTGCTGTTACCACTGGTGGTGCTTCTCCCAGTGCGCCAGAGTACTGATAGTGTGGTGGTGCTGCTGTTACCACTGGTGGTGCTGCTGTTACCACTGGTGGTGCTGCTGTTAGCTGCTTTATCAACTGGTGGGGTGGTGCTGCTGTTACCACTGGTGGTGCTGCTGTTACCACTGGTGGTGCTTCTCCCAGTGCTGCAGTTTTAAATTAGAGTATTTACAAAAAAATGTTATCGTTACTATCACAAACTAGAATATTCAATGTCAAAATCAAAACAACTTAGAGAGAAACTTAGAGAAGTGAATTTGGGAACTGAAATCAGAACGAGCCTTTAAGCTTTGCTTTCTGACGACAGCCTTGGGAAGTGTCTGACCATCCCACTCAAGCCTAGAGGAAGTCATGGCTTTCCACGGCTTTCTTCATAGAAAGCTACAAGCCATGAGTGGTCGGCTTTCGTGGAAGGAAAGTTCAGTCGTGGTTCGTGCCCCGTAAGGGTATAAACCCAGGGTGGCTTATTAACCCAGGGTGGCTTATATACCCAGGGTGGTTTATTAACCCAGGGTGGCTTATTAACCCAGGGTGGCTTATAACCCAGGGTGGTTTATTAACCCAGGGTGGCTTATTAACCCAGGGTGGCTTATTAACCCAGGGTGGCTTA